CCCATAGACACTTTGGCACATTCATAGTGTACATGATTGAGCGCGCCACCTCAAGGATATGCCGATTTTTCTGCTCTGCCACGCCATTTTGGGGAGGAGTGTCCGGGCAAGATGTCTGATGCAGAATACCTTGGTCTGATAGGAACTCTCCCAGCCTTCTGTTGACATATTCTGTCCCATTGTCAGTCCTTATCATTTGAACCTGCACCTTGAATTGAGTTTTAACATACGCACAGAAGTCCTTGAAACACTCAAACACCTCATCTTTATGTCGCATTAGATACATCCATGTCATGCGAGTATTGCAATCAATGAAGGTGACAAAATATTTCATTCCATTTATCGAGGTTGATGGACATGTCCAAACATCTGAATGAACAAGCACAAATGGGACTATACTCCTGAGCCCCTTACTCACATACGATATCCGAGTGTGTTTAGCATACTCACATGCCTCACACCTTAACTTGGTTTTATCTAAACCATTCATTACATCAGGGAAAGCTTTCTTCATTTTCTCAAAAGAAACATGTCCAAACCTATAATGGTGGATCATAGCTAATGCTTCCTTCTCTATCGCAGTCGCAACAAGAGCCATGCCAGCAGTCTTCACATCCTCCTGGCGATCCATGTACCATAGTCCTCTATGCCTGGTTCCTGCCCCAAGCCTCCTCCCAGTTCCCATCTCCTGAATCAAACAGCGGTACTTATTAAGAGTTACGTCACAATCTATCTGATCAATCAAAGCACTCAATGACACTAGACTAACTGGGAAAGCTGGAACATGCAAAACTGATTCCAACTTAATACTTGGAGTACATTGCACTGCCCCAACCCCCTTAATAGGTTGTGCAGTACCATCTGCAGTTTGAATAGTTCCATTGTACGATTGGGGGTACTATTGATAGCATTCAAACTCTCTAACGTTGCCGGTTACATGTTTCGATGCCCCTGAGTCTAAAACCCAATCTACACCAGCCCTATGAACAGCAACAGATGCAGTTTCATTACCTTCATCAGAGTACACAAAATGAGCAAAGTCACCAAACACTGTCTCTGCTTGCTGTTCGTTCCTCTTGTCTTGACCCTGCTGCTCATTTCTCATGTCTTGACTATGAGAAGAACTGGACTGACCCTCACTCATGACAAATACATTCGCTCTGGCCTCCCCTTGGTAGCGATTGTAGTTGTTATAGTTACTTGGAGCACTTCTGCCCCTGTTGTTGCTTCCACGATAGTATCCCCTGCCATCTCCTCTGTAGCTGCCTCTGTAACCTCCTCTGCCTTTGTTGTCTCTCTTCGGTGGGGCTGTGCACTGGTAACTGAGATGCCCTTTCAGCCCACAATTGTGGCAGTCTCTTGTCTCAGGCCTATTCATTATGTGATAAGCAGGTCTGGAAGCCACCTTTGACCGCTCCACAGCTTTCAGTCTAGTCTCCTCCTGTGCTATAGCAGCAATGGCATCTCTTAGTGACGGCAACTCAGCTTGTTGCATTAAGATAGCCCTTCTATTCTCAAACATGGAGTCCAGCCCCTTCAAAAACTTGAGGACACGCCTATCCTCAACCCACTTTCTAGCTATCACTGCACACTCAGCATGTGGCAACACAATAGGTGCAAGATAGTCTAAATCAGCCCAAAGATGTTTCAGCTCTTCAACATACATCATTACAGTCCTATCACCTTGAGTGACATCATGCACAGTTTCTTCAATTTTGGAGACCAACATGACATTTCCCTTCCCTGAGTACATACTAGCTAACGCTGCCCATACCTCAGCAGCAGTAGGGAGGTCCTCCACCGAAGCAGCAACAGAAGGGGATAGAGAACTCAGCAGCCAATTCAACACGAAACTGTCCGTGGCATTCCATTTCTTCCATGAAGCTCCCCTCTTGTCTTCTGGTTCCTTCACCTCACCAAGAGCATAGTCTTCCAGTGACTTAGTTCTGAGGATGAGTTTACCTCTCCTCGACCACCTCAGGTAGTTTTCTACACCTTCTAACTTCACCTCGTTTGGAGCCAGCTCAATCTTCTGCACCATCTCTGCCTGCGCAGCGCTCGAGCCCACATCAGCAGGTGCCTTCTCACCTGCAGCCACCATCTTCGCGGCCATGATGTCCGCAAGCTTGTCCATTGCAGCCGCCAGTGCTTCCTCCGCCATTTTCCCTTTCAGTCAGCAGCAGACCAAAAACAGCGGGACTTTCAGCACCTGCAAGCAGCAATAGCACTCCTCTTCTCCTCTTCTCAACCAGCAGCAGTTCGTCACCTCTCCTTCCTTTACCAACCCGCAGCAATCAACAGCCGAGAGCAGAAGGGGACTTGGAGACAAACTGCAGCTTCTCGCAGCGGACCTGACAGCGTTGCTGCCGTGTCAGGTGAGATGCGTGACCTGCCCTTCCTTTTCTCTCTTCCCCTCAATCTCTCTCTCGCTGCCTCACGCAGCAGCAGCAGCACCTCCAGCACGCAGCAGCTCCAGCAGCACGTGCGCACAGCAACCTTCTCTCCCGAGCCGGCCGCGCCGCCTTGCTGCACTCTGCCACCAGCCGCAGCCACTGCGCCTAGCTCGCCGTCGTTCGCCCCCGGCAGGTCCTCCTCGCCGGACTACACCACCGGCGCCGCCGCTGCCGCTGCAGCCTGGTCTGATACCATGTTGAACTTGGAGGAGTAGCGTACCAGGAGCAGCTGCTGTTGTGTCTTTCTTGGTGTGTGGTGGCTCTCACGGAACAGAGGAGGAGGAGCTCCTCTTCTAGGTCAACATTTCTCATGGGCTTGGGCCTAAGAGATAGGTACAGATGGGCTAGGGCCTATATCGGTTCAACAGTAAGTATACTTATTAAAAACAAGCCAAAGAGAACAACTAGTAGAACAACTGATCACCGTATAGTTTGCAGATGTTGCAGAAAGAAAGATACCCAGCAACTGAAGCTTTCTTTCTGGTCGTCTTTGGTTGGTACTGGCAGAGATTATTTTCATCCATCTATATAAGGCTAAGTGCATGTAAGTTGTCAATAGTCTTAGTTCTTCAGTTAATGTTTTACTTAACTGATCATGTGTTTCACTTTTGTGAGGTTGTCGTCAACAAGGATGCAGATGATGTACTGTGGGAGAAGACCGGATTCGCCACAGCCCAGTCTGATGAAGAGGAGGAAGAGGAAAGAAAAAAACTGATGAAATAGTGTGCCACGAAGAAGTTGCCTGAAAATAGTGTACGGTGATGCTGAATAAAAGTGCCACCCACGGTGCTCTTGCTAGTATGTCTTACTGTATTTTCCAGTCTTGTTGCAGATAGTAGAGCTGGTAAAACAAAGCCACACCGTGGCCTGGTTTGAAGGGGCCCGTGAGGATGTCCCTTGCCACACCGTGGCCGCTGCGTTCGCCGCCACCTTCGGCTTCCGGCCGGCGAACGTGAGTGTTGTGCGGCACTTCCCCGAGCAGTACCTCGTCAAGTTCATGTACCAGCACAATTGCGCGGACGCCGTCAACCGTGGCGACTTCCTCGTCGGCAACTCCTCTCTCTTCGTCCGTGCCTGGAGGCTCGAGGCGCACGCTGACAATGAAGACATGATGCACCACGTCCGTTTGTGCATCGAGGGGATCCCGGTCCATGCCTGGAATGAGTACGTCGCTGCGTTCATCATCGGTCGTTGGTGCTCCCTCGACTACATCGAGCAGCGGTCTCTGCGCCGGGAGGACACACGCGACCTGTCGCTCTGGGCGTGGACGTCCGACCCCAACGCCATTCCTAAGGTGAAGTGGCTCACGTTGCCCGCCCGCGGCCTCCGACGCCGCGGCCGGCGCGGCCTGAGACACCGTGTGCTGCTGCACCTGGACCTGCTCGAGGACCACTCCAAGGCGCGGGACGACGACGACGACCCACCACCTCCTGACCTCTACGAGTACACCTGGTTCCGCCGTACAGTGGACGGCACGGTGCGGCGGGGAGACAGGCGTGCTGGTCAGCCCAGCGACGTCCAGCGCCCCGCGCGGCGCGACGACGACGATGACGACCGCGGCGGCCGCCGCGGGCGTGATGGCCCGCGCGCACAGGGCGGTTGGCGCGACCGCATCAGTCGCTCCCTGTCCAGGGGCGCCCGTGACCGTCAGCGGCAAGATGGCCAGGAGAGGTCCCGCGATCGCTCGAGCGGCACGGGCGGGAGGCGCCATGGCGCTCAAGCTGTGGCCGCCCTGGGTGACGCTGCGCCGGCCGCGCCACCCTTGGTCCTGATGGGCTCTAGCTCCGCTAGTGACGAAGGGGCAGGCGCCTTGGAGCTACAGCCGGTGCGTGGCCGCAGCCCGGCATGCCAAGGCTCGCCGCGGGCTGCACACAGACGCTCCCAGGAGAGTCTTACGCCACCGGTCTCGCCCCCGCTTTCCCCCACGTCGGTGCTGCCTCGACTTGCCTGCTCCAGGAGGGACGAGGCTCGGGCAGTGACAGCACCTCTGGCGGTCCCGTCCCCGACGGTGTTGCAGTTGTGCTCACCAACGCATCTGCT